TTCCCTACATCTGCCCCAGTGCCTGCCCCTCCAAGCCTCCTGCTTTTTTGTGGGGGTCCAGAGGGGTCTAGCATAACCCTGCCATGTCCTCTTAGACCTGCCGGAGACACTGACAGAGCTGCACCTGGATCACAACCAGATTCAGGCCATTGAATTGGAAGACCTGAAGCGCTACAGCAAGCTTACCAGGTATTGGGGTACCCTAACACCCCAAAACTGGCACCCCCAAATCTAGGAGGCCTGCATCCCCATATTCTCTGTGAACCAAGCGTGACCTGCTAGAGCAAAGTTGGATATTGGGGTACCCCTGTGCCCCAGAACCTGTCCCCAGTTTTGGGGGTACACCTGTACCCCAAACCCAGTGGTTATTGAACCCCCAGTGTGAACTGTTAGAGGAAGCACAGTGAGTATTGGGGTAGGCAGCACCCCAAAACCAGGACTGCCATCTGAGGGGCTTTGTACCCCAGTATCCCTGTCCCCTGAACCTAACCTGCTTGAGTAAGGTCAGTGGATACTGGCATACCCTGGTATCCCAAAACCTGGCACCCCAAATCCAGGGGGCTGCACTCCAAGTCTCTTGGGGAGTCCCTGTCCCCTGAGCCTGACTCACTTGAGTGGGTAACAGGGTATCCTGGTCCCCTAAAAATTGGCCATCAAAATGTGGGAAATCCTGTACCCCTAAATCTCCAGGGTCACTACTGTCCCTCAAACTTGATCTGCTGGATAAGGTCAGCTGGTATTGGGGTACCCCAGCACCCCAAAAATGCAGGACCCCAGATCCAGGGGACTCCATACCCCCCAGTCTGTTGGGGATCCCCTTTCCCCCATACCTGACCTGCTGAGGCAACAACAGGTCTTGGGGTAAGCCTGCATCCCAAAACCTGGCCCCTCCAAATCTGGGGACCCTGTACCTTGAAATCCCCTGTGGAGCCCTTGTGCTAGAGCATAACAGGTATTGGGGAACCCCAGCACCCATAAAACTCAACTGCAGAATCTGGGGGGTGGGGCGTGTACTCCCAAATCCCCTGGGGAGCCCATTCACCAAGCTTGACCTGTTAGAGCAAGATCAGAGGGTATTGGGGGTCCCCCAAAAGATGGACCTCAAGAATCTGGGGGGCCCTGTATCTCCAAATCCTCTGGAGAGCCCCTTCCCCCGAAGCTTGACCAGCTAGAGCTAGATCCCAGCCCCATAAAACTGGACCTCAAGATCTGGGAGGACCCTGTACCCCCAAATATCTGTGGATGCCACTGTTCCCCTATCTTGATCTGCTAGGTATGACCAACTGGTATTGGGGTACCTGGCACCCCAAAACTAGACACCTCAAAGTTCTGGGGCTGTACCCCCAAATATCTTGGGAAGCCCCTGTCCTCTGAGTTAGACCTGCTGTAGTCAGGTCAGGTATTGGGATACCTTGGCTCCCCAAAACATGCCCCCCTGTCTGTTTGCTTGTCTGTCCCACATATCTGTGGGGTGGAGAACTGCAGTCTGTCCCTGACCCCTGTCTGTCCCTCTGTCCAGGCTGGAGTTGGGCAACAACTGGGCTTGTGGGGTGGAGGATGACAGTATGTCCCTGACTTTTGACCTGTGTCTGTCCATCTCTGACCCCTGTCTGCCTGTCCCTGATCCCTAATGCCAAGTCTGTCCATCTGTCCCTAATCCTTGAGCCCTGACCCCTGTCTGTCTCTCCAGGGTGGGGCTGGGCTATAACCACATCTCTGGCATGGACGATGGCAGTCTGTCCCTGACCCCTGATCCTTGCCTGTCTGTCCCTGGCTGACCCCCTGTCTGTCTGCCTGTCCATGACCCCTGACCCCCTCTCTGCATCTGTCCAGGCTGGGGCTGGGTCACAACCGAGTCCGTGGGGTGGAGAACGGCAGTCTGTCCTTCCTGCCGCTGCTGCGGGACCTGCACCTGGAGCACAACAAGCTGCAGCGGGTGCCCCCTGGCCTTCCCAACCTGCGCCACCTCCAGGTTGGTCAGGGAGGCTTGTGGGGGCTCTGGGGAAGCTAGGGGCCAATGCGGGGGGAAGAGGTAAGGGGGGGACCTTGGGAGGGCTGGGAAGTAATGGGGGACTATGGAGGGCTAGAAGGAGCTGGGGGGAAAGGGGGAACCCAGGGACAGTGGAAGTAATGGGGCATAAGGGGACACTGGGGGGTCCTGGGGTGATGGGGGGCTGGGGAGAAATGGAGGGTAAAGGGGGCCACAAGGAATCCCAGGTAAGGAGGAGTTGCAGGGGGCTAGGAGGTAATGGGGGGCCTTGGGGATTGTGGGGACTCAGAGATAATAGGAACCCTAGGGAGCTGGGGGGAGTCTGGGGCATAATGGGGAGGTCTGGCAGGAGTCAGAGGGGTAATGAAGGTACCCTGGGAAACTCAGGCCTGACTCCTGACCCCCTAGGGTTCAGAGGTTATTTGGTGGGGTTAGGGAGCTATTTCTGGGGGTCCAGGGGCTGTGTTGGGGGTTCAGGGGTATGTTTGGGAGTTCTGGGGCCATACTGGGTGCTGACCCCTGCCTGCCCCCCCAGGTGGTGTACCTCCATGCCAACAACATCTCAGCCGTGGGGCCCCACGACTTCTGCCCGCCAGGCTTTGGGGTGAAGCGCTCCCCCTACCATGGGATCAGCCTCTTTGGGAACCCACTGCCTGCCTGGGAGGTGCCACCTGCTGCCTTCCGCTGCGTCTCTGCCCCACTGGCTGTGCAGTTTGGCAACTACCGCAAATAAAGGGCACCCCAAATCTAGGGACACCCCCATAACTAGGCGGAGAGAGAGCCAGGCAGGGGGCCTGGGGGGGCAGCAGGGTTAGGGAGAGGGGTGTGAGGCTAGTTTTGGGGGGCCAGGGGGAGTTTGGGGGGAACATCTGGGGTAGCTTTGGGGAGTGTGGGGGTCAAGCAGTTAGTTTTAGCGGTGCAGGGGACTTATAGGGCTTATGGGGAGCTTTGGGGGGCAGTAGGTGGGTATGGGGGTTTGGGGGATGATATTGGGGTGCAGAGGGGTCTTGGGGGTCAGGTAGGATTGGGGATGGCAGGGAGCAGTATTGGGAAGCAGCGGGATGAAAGGGCACAGGGAAGGTTTGGGGGGGCAGGGTAATTTAGAAGGCAGGGGCAGTTTTGGGCCGGTGAGTAGATTTGGGGGTGTATGGGAAATATGGGGTTCAAGGGGATGTGGGGGCTAGGGGGAAAGTTTGGGGGCAGGGATAGTTTCTGGAGGCCAGGGATGAGTTATGGGGACCAGGGGGTGGATCTGGGGTCATTTTGGCAGGCAGATATTGGGGTATAGAAGCGGGGCAGGAGTGGGAGAGGCTCATGGGGGAGTTTGGGGGTGAAAGGAATGGAGCCTTTCTTAGAGTCCCTCCTCCCCTTCCCTGGGATTTAGGTTCCCCCCAGCCCCTAATTTCTCCCTGTCAGGGTCACATCAAAGCCTGGAGACATACATAAAGCCTCTTCAACCCCACTCCCTAGCGCCCCCCCCCAAAAAAAAGGAGCAGAAAAAAATGGGGCTTTATATATAAAAAATATAGAATTTTGCTATTTTTTGCCCAAAATTGGTGAGTTTTTGGGGCTGTGGGGAGGGGACATGCGGAGATCCCAGCTCTTACTGGGAGCACTGGGAAGGAAAGGAGGGTTTGGGCTGGGGACAGTGGCGATTTGGGGGCAATTAAAAAATAACAAAGATTAAAAAATCATAGTCACTAAAAATGCTGTTTGAATGAAAAATGCTAGTTAATAAATACACAGTGAGCAAATTTGAATGAAGAAGTGACCATGGCCTTAGAATTTTAATGGAATTTATTTAGAATTTAATTGAAATTAGCAATTTTTAGTGAAGAAGTGATAATGACCTTAAAATTTTTATGAAATTGAATTAGAATGTGTTTGTAATTAGCCTTTCATAATTAAGAATTTTTAACGTAATTTAATAAGAATATTATTGCAATTAGCATTTTTTAATTAAGACAATGCCATAAGAATCTTAGTGCAGTTTAATAAGAGCTTAATTTAATTGAATTAGAATTTAATTGAAATTAGCCAATTTATTTAAGAAGTGACCATGGCGTTAGTGTTTTAATATAATTTAATTAGAATGTTATTGTATTAGCATTTTAATTAAGGAGTGAATGGCATTAAATTTAATTAGATTAGTATGGTTAAATGTGATGTTAATAATTTAATTAGAAGTTTAAATTGGAATTGAAAAGTCATTTTGGGGTTCTTATTTCCAATATAATTTTTAATTAGAAAATTAAAATGTAAGGTAATTCAGTTATAATTACATGTTAAGAGTTTGATGAGAAAAGTATTTAGAAAGTATAAGTAATTTAAATTTTAATTGCAAATTACAAATGTAATGAGAGGTTTTAACGATGAATGAAAAATGGATTTGGCAATTTCAAACTAAATTAAAAAAATATTGGAAATTTTAGTTACCAATTAAATATTTAATTTGAAATTGATTTAGAAATTAGAAACACGAGGATTTGTGACTGCAAATTTAATTACCAATTAAAAATTATAAATGTACTGTATTTACACATTTGAAATGTCATTAGAAATTTTAAGTGCAAATCAAAAATGTGACAGTTTTAAAATGTGAATTAAAAATGTGAAGTTTTAATTATAAATTAAAATACTAAGTCAGACATTTTAAATTCAAAATATAAAAAAACATATTAGAGGTTTTCATTGGAGATGTTAATTAAACATGAAAATGGAATTGGATGTTTCATTCAAAATGAAGAATGCAAGAAGGAATTTAAATTAAAAATCAAACACCTGCCTGGCTGATGTTTCTGTTAAAAAGGAAATGCCATTAGGAATTTTACTTTAAGAGCAAAAATTCCGGTAGAATTTTTAGTTGCATTTTCCATTTTTAATTCAGAACTCTGAATTAAAAATTAAAGCTGCAAATAGAAGTGTGACTGACTGACTGACTGATTACCTGGAGACAATTCTCCTTAAAATTAAAGAAAAGAAAAATCATCCAAAAAATTTAGGGAAACTTTTATTTCTTTCTTTATTCATTTCTTTATTGATTGATGTATTTTTCTGTTTCTTTTTTTTCCATTCCTTCCTTCTTTTATTTTTCTATTTAATCCATTTATGTATGCACAGATATATCCATACATTCAGTTATTCATCCCTTTACATATTTTTGCATTTATTTATGAGTTCATCTATTTGTGTCTTTTATTTATTTTGATTCATTCATTTATTAACTCATTGGTTCATCCATTCATTCATTTATTCAGGTATTTGCATGTGTATGTTTATTCTACTATTAATTTATATATTTATTGGACCCTTCATTTTTTTTCTTTTATTTTTTTCAGTTGCTTATTAATTCATTCGTTTACCTGTATAGTTTCATTTATTCATTCATTCTTTTTTTTAATGTCATTTTTCTTTTATTGCTTCATTTATTTATCCATGTATTAGTTCTATTAATTCATTTATTGATATATGTAGTAGTTCTATTAATTAATGTATTCATTTAACTTATTTTTTATTTTATGTAATATCTACGTATTTTCTTTCTTTCTTTCTATTAATTTAGTTGTTGATCCATTTGCTCATTCATTCATTCATTCATTTATTCATTCATTATTCTTTGATTTCTTCATTTATTTATCTGTGGATTCATTTAGTTATTCTTAGTCTTTTCATTCATTATTAGTTCATCATTATTAGTCTATTCATTCTTTTATTAGTTCATCCACTCATTTTTTCATTTCCTGTTTTATCTATACATCCATGTACTCATTTATCTATTCATTTTTATTGATTCATTATTCATTTGTTCATTTATTTTTCCTTTTCTTTAATTTATTTATCCACATATTAATTTACTACTTTATTCATTCGTATTTGTTTGGTCCTTTTTCCCATTTATTTATTTATGTATTCATCCATGTATTTATTTTTGTATTTATTTATTTTTTCATGTGTTGTTTCATTTCTTTCTTCGTGCATTCATTTATTTCTTTGTGTTTGGTTATTTTTTTGTGTGTTAATTAGTTTATTAATTTTTTATTTATATCTTCCTTCCTTTCTTCATATTTTAGTTCATTCACTGGATCTCTTGGCTGCCTTCTCTACCTCCTCCAAGAAATCAGGGAAGAAATTTGGGAATTTTCTAAAATAGATTTTATGAATGAATGAATGAATGAATGAATGAATGGAGAAACCACCACAGAAAATTCCCCAAAGAGACAAAAAGAAATGACTGCATAAATACATTTTAAAAATAAGTTAATAAAAATGTCAAAGGAAAAAGAAGAAAAGAAAGAAACCCCCAAGAAGTTAAAAAAAAGAAAAAGAAAAAAGTCCTAAAATGATTATTTTTGCTCAAATGAAAAAAAAGGCAACACATTTTTCCATACCCCCTCATGTGAATCTTTAGTACCCCCTCATGTGCCACCAGGCATGCAAATCTTTCACAAAATTCTCAAAAGATGCTAAAAATAAAAGAAAAAGTAAAAGCCCCCCCAGAATTATTTGTTCCTAAAAGGAAACAAAAGCCATGCACTTTTGCTACAAGCCATTGTGCAAAACCTAGCATGCAAATCTTTTGAAGCCCCACATGCCAAACCTGACATGCAAATTTCTGACAAACCCCTCAGGAAATGGGGAGAGGGAGGAGGAATTTTTTTTTTTAAAGAGAAAGGAAAAAAAACAAGGAAAAGAAAAAGCCCCTCCCACCTTATTTTTTTAAAGGAAAAATAAAGCGATGCACATTTCCCACACCCCACTGTGCAAAACCAAGTGTGAGGATCATTCACACAATTCCCATGAAAAGAAAAGAAAAGAAAAGAGGACAAAGTCCCTTGAGAATTATCTTTGCTTAAAGTGGGGGTAAAAATAGCAATGCACTTTCTCCAAAACCCCTTGTGTGAAAGCAGGTGAGCAAATCTTTTACAAAATTCTCAAAAGATGCAAAATAAAAAGGAAAAAGAAAAAAATAAGAAAAACCCTGAGAATTATTATTTTCTCTTAAAAGGAAAAAAAAGCGACATAATTTTTCCACATCTCATTGTATGAAACCAGATGTTCAAGTCTTTCAAAAAATTCCCTTAAGATGCAAAAAGAAAAGAAAAAGAGAAAAAAGGAAAAAGAAAAAAATCCCAAATCAATGCACTTTTCCCATAACTCGTGTGAAACCAAGTATGTGAATCTTTCACAAAATTCTCAAGAGATGTGAAATAAATAAAGAGGAAAAGGAAAAGAAAACAAAAATAAAAGGAAAAAGAGACTCTCCCCTAAGAATGATTATTTTCTCATGGGGGGGCAGGGGGGGGGCGGGGATGTGATACACCTTTCCACACCCCATCATGTGAAACCAGGCGTGCACAAAATTCTCAAAAAAAAGCCAAATTTTATATATCTATAGATATATCTATCTATATATCTATAGATAGATATATAAAAGAAAAGAGCCACACACCCAAGAATGCTTGTTTTCACTTAAAAGGAAGAAAAAAAAGCACTTTCCAAAAGTGGGTATGTAAATCTTCTGCACCCTGTTGTGGGAATGTTATTTTTTTCATAAGGGACTTGTGAACCCTTGTGTGAGACCGGCTGTTCCTGAGTCCCAGATAGGGAGGGGAACATGGAGGTGTGCTCCACCAAAATGCAGACATCACTTGTGGTGGTTTTCATGGGGAGGGATGTCTGCCGTGAACTTAAGAGGATGGGGCACTTTTTTCACATTAAATTTGGAAGTTGTTGGGAGGGCCTAGGGG